TTCAAACAGCGACTACTCGAAAACACTACGACATCAGATAAAGTACATAATAATAACAGGTCGTACAGAACTACTGAAAATAGTAACCTACAGAAGACGGACGATGAGACAGAGAATCTGGTGCCGATATTACCTAACCCGATTCCGCACAAAGATAAACCTCCTGAAATAATAGATCAAAAGGCGGATTTGACAGAGAAACAAGCCAGTCGGTCGCCAACTTCGGGTGGCCAGGGTGAAGATAGCGGCATTGAAAGCATGGACGCTTTGAGCGAGAAATCGCCAAACCAGGCCGGACAAAGTCCGCACGGTGAAAACAAAAATCAAGTGCCTGACATTCTGACTGATATTGAGGCGCAGTTAGCCAAAATGGAGGGACTCAACGGTGAGGAAGATATGAACGAAAACAAACAGGACGGCACATTTATAATTGTCCACATTTATATTTACGTTAATTAGTTTTATGCAACAAGATTTTATTCATTCATTGTTTTATACTTTTATACTTCATTAAGTTACTCATCCCACAATGTAATAATTGTGTGTTTATTATATTTTAGTTTCCTAATTACATGTTTAGTTGAGTTTACAAGAATAAAGGTAACAATAAAGTTCTTATTTATTTTATAGATGAAGGTAGTAGCAGCAATACCAATGCAACTTCCGATGGGGGATTATCAAGATTACTGTCGGGAGAAGTTCAAGTGCCAACGAATTCTGTATCTTCGGACAAGATGCAGTTTCGTTCTCCCAACGTCGTGTGTCCACCGGATAGTGTAGTTCCTAAAGTGCCTACACCGGGGGCCATACAATCGACGTTGTCATCGTCCAGACTGCAGTCAGGACCTTTTCCTTTTACGAGCATGAATCAGGCGATTCAGAGCCGGGAGAACAGCTCACTAGGAGGAGGAGGGACAGGTGGAAACGTGAGCACGTCAACTTCTTTCACACCACCACCACCTTATCCTGGTAAACATCCACCGGTGACGTTGTCGAGTCCGTTGCTTGTCAATTTGCTTCAAAATGACGGAACTTCTGCGACCACGACGACGACGACAAAATCAGATGTAGAAGGATCGGGTAAAATTCAAGCAAACGGTTCTATGTTGCACCCGAACGTCTCAAAAAGCCTTACTCAAATTTCCACTGTAAAAAGTCATCCGCCTCCACCATCACCTTCATCATCATTCGCGCCGAAAACGATCCCGAGCGTTCCTGCACGAACAACAGGCGTCTATTCTGCGTCAGCTGTGACCGTTCAAAATCATATTCCACCACCACCGCCTCCCCTTCATCCAAAGATCGTACATTCACAACCGACCGTTACCGTAAACAGTAGTCTCAATACGGACACCTGTTACAAACAACTAGTTCATCATCAGCGAATCAATAGTAATAGTGTTAGTGCTTCATCAAACAATGCAAAAGTGCCCGCGCTTGTCTCGAACAGTGCCGTCGTTCAACAACAACAAACAACTAATAATTCGTTACCGGATCGACAGTGTTCGACGATGATTGCGAAACCTAGTGCCGTTCTCCAAAACTCAGGTGAACTGGAACTGTCCAGTCAATCGATAGTTGCTAACAAAATGCCACAACACACTGCACTCACTTCAAACAATAATAGTAGTAGTAGTGTCTCATTAATTCAACAGTCATCCTCGATCCTTGACGATGCAAAAAGCATTGCGTTTCGATCGTGTTCGCCAAGTTTGATGGACGATTTGACTCCAACGTTAACGGATTTGAAGGAATCCGATTTGGACCAGTTGTTACCAACTCTTGAACACGACATTGCAAGTAGTCCACCAGAGCTGCCTGAGGTGTTCACCGACACCAAAGATCGTCGTAAGTTTCTAATCAATCCACTGACGGGGGAGCTCGAATTGCAATCCAGCAGCGACGAGAGTGAATGTGATCCAGATGAGCAGATAAAAAATGTGTTCACGGACCTGTCTTCACCTGCAGCGTCTGTTTCCGACGATGACATTGGTTCCTTATCGAACCCATCAACCACGACAATGATGGTAACTACAGCGTCGAATCGATTGCCGTTGGATGCAACCACTGGAACTGCGTTGGATCATACCGGTAGCGACACGACAACATCGGCGAAAAGTTCGAAACTAAAAAGTACAAAAGGGAGGCCAGAACGTTGCATTGGCGGTCGTGATTCTCCCAAATTGAAACCGACTGAGAAAATCAAATTACGGTTGAAATTGGAAAAATCGGAACCAGTGAGCAGTGGGTACAAGGTCGATGTGAGTTTTATCAACACACCCCCGAAGAAAGCAACAACTTCAAACGTGATAGCTACAGGTGAAGAATTGCGTGTACCTCCACTTCACATTTCACTAAGAGGTCGCAATCATGTTGTAATTAACAATAAAAAAAAGGTTCGTATATTTTGATGTACTATTCAACTATATCAACAAAAATTACTTAGCTCAAATATAGTTAGTATGACTAGTTCTATAAAAACATGAAATTTTAAAAACCAGTAAAAAAAATTAAGAAATCAAAATGTACAGTTTGATATCTTGACTACTTATACTGTTTTAAATATAATTCCATCCTTAAGTTTTAAAAAAATCTCTTATATGAATAAATAATAGTACGGTTCTACAGAAGAGAATTTATTTATTTATTGAGATAATTATATTATTTTCAGGTAAAAACAAATGCAGATGGTAACTTGAACAAACCGAAAGTTCGGAAAGCTCAAATCGAGTTTAAGCCCAGAAAAGTGGGAGAATCGGACATGGAATCGGACGATCGCTCTTTATCGCCTTTAAACAAAACTAATAGCAGTGGCGATTTTGCAAACACCAGTAATATACCGCCCGACCACACCAAAACCAGTGCCTTGGATTCGAGAAAAATCAGGAAGATAAAATCTGTACAAGAACACCGTGAACAAAACTTGCTTACGGGCGGTCACTTAGTCGATCGAAGTAAAGAGTACGAACACCAAGTGGTTTACAATACCCATTTCAAAGAGAAATTGAAAGAAAGACGAGGTAGCGATTCGGAATTGGCCCACAGCGCAAAACGGTTACTGGACAACAACGGATTAATTTCGGTTGATAAGAAGAGGAGGCTCAGCCAGACAGACCACTTCGATGAATCTCATCAGTCATTAGTCGTGGGTTCGACCAACATTGGTACAGTATCAACACTCAGTCCAAAACCAAAAAAAGAGAAATTGAAAGCAAAAGATGGAAACAGCAAAGGTAAAGAGATTGATCGAAGTAAAAGTTATGCGAAAAATGTAGCTGATAAACTTGCAAGCAAACAAGTCGCCCTTCCGACCGGTGAAATTGACATGGAAGCCAAGTTCAAACAGCGACTACTCGAAAACACTACGACATCAGATAAAGTACATAATAATAACAGGTCGTACAGAACTACTGAAAATAGTAACCTACAGAAGACGGACGATGAGACAGAGAATCTGGTGCCGATATTACCTAACCCGATTCCGCACAAAGATAAACCTCCTGAAATAATAGATCAAAAGGCGGATTTGACAGAGAAACAAGCCAGTCGGTCGCCAACTTCGGGTGGCCAGGGTGAAGATAGCGGCATTGAAAGCATGGACGCTTTGAGCGAGAAATCGCCAAACCAGGCCGGACAAAGTCCGCACGGTGAAAACAAAAATCAAGTGCCTGACATTCTGACTGATATTGAGGCGCAGTTAGCCAAAATGGAGGGACTCAACGGTGAGGAAGATATGAACGAAAACAAACAGGACGGCACTACAAAACTAGAACAATGTTGCGGTCTTACACCGTCGTCGGTCTCAGTAGTTCCAGAGCAACAGAGTAAAGAAACGCCTGGGACGGGCGTAGACCTTATACCTGATGGGAAAGACGACGATTTGGACCCTTTACCAGTTCGTGTAACACCGCCCTTATACACGTATTCGAACGCCGAAAAATCGGTAACGGTACGAAACGACGCTGAGAGTCCTACGTTCGATTCGGACAGCAACTCGTGTCCGGTCGCTTTAAAGAGTAAAAGTCTTCTCGAACAACTCCTGATAGATATTCCAGACAGTCAGACGCCCAGTTCGCCCAGCCCCGTGACACGATCGCTGCGAACGCGAGCCTGTTCGAAACTGAACAGTCCTGAACTACTAAATTCGCCTCCCGTGTCACGTGACAACCAAAAATTGAAGAACGTCGTCGCGTCGGTTCCAGTGGCGACGGCAGCGACGCCGGCCGTCGCCAAACGAAAGAGACATGAGTCGGAAAATTCGATCAACGCCGATGACGCGTCTGTTCGCAGCAACAGCAAAAAGACGCGTAAATGTTCAGAGAACGCTACGGAACTCATCAAAGCTTGTATGGGGGTCGAGACGCCGACAAAGTCAACGATTCCAATTGTGGTGGTTGGCAGGGAGAAGAAAATAACGACGACGATGACGACGACTACCACAACTGCCGGATCAGGTGGAGGAAACAGCGGTCGGTTGATAGCGGACGAAAGTTCGGACAGCGACGAACCTTTGATCGAGGTAGCAGGCAAGGTGCGGAAGAACAACAACATCGCCAGCAGTGGTGTAAGTGTCGGTATCACGCCTAAAACAAAAACGAAACTGGCAACGTCAATCCAAACGCCTGCAACTACAATTAATAAAACTGGGTCTATAAATACACGGCGTTCCGTTCGTGCTACGCCTGCGCTGAACACGCGAAGTAAGGGTGACAGGGTGCAGCCTGATGCCGAAGTTTTACGGCGAAAAACTAGGAGTTCAGGTAGGAAAAATTACTTTCATCAAAAAAGCCTTGATAATAATACAACTAGTTTTAATATTTATTAGTTTTTATTCTAAAAAATGTTAGAATTTTAATATTTCAAGCGTAGAATTGATAAAATGCAGTAAATGAAATAAGAAAAAGTATAGTAGTAGTTCTAGTTTATGGTAAAGCTTCAGACAATTTGTAATTCTGTAGTTTTACGCAGAACTAAATTATTTATGTGTATTACAATGGTAATGTGGTTTTATACATGGAAAAATCGTTTGTTATACAATGAGAAACAGGAGAAAAGAATAATTTCAGCATTTATTTTTTAATCAACAGTAACGGAGGGCGAAAGCAAAAGGCGGAAAGACGTGAAGTGACGATGCCTGGGAGGCTGCACTTGCTGCAGCCCTCTACCGCCTGCCCCCGGCCACGAGTTGCTGCGGTCCATATACGTAACCCGTACCGAAGTGCAGCCTTGAATACTCACGGCAATAGTACAAAAAGTCGACGGACTTTTGTATAGATTGTGATATAAGTATATAATACACTACTTGTACATATATAACATAGCTAGAGAATTGTACATAGAGCCGTGTCGTTTAGTCACATGGATTTATAAATATATGCATATAAATTATGTATAGAGTATAATATTTGTATTTTACACGAGATACATAACACATAAATACACCACCACCATTACCACTGCAACCACAACCATCTACCAGAAACAACTGCATATAAGTACCTATTGATTGATGTCCACACCTGATTGATTAATTTAGGTAGCCTTTATAAATTAAATAATGATAATAACAACGGTGATGATATATGATATAACACTAATGAAATGATGATGATATGTGGTTGGGTGATGGTGATTCTTGCATTTTTTGCTACCGCTGCTATACTATTACTACTACTACTGCTACAACGTAGAGAACTTTGGACGTTTTATTTTTATGTATATTTTTTATAACGATTGTGAAGTTGTTAAAATATTGTTTATGTTTTAGCTTAATTTTGTTTTATTATTTATACGGTGGATCACTAGAATGATGTTTATTGTTTCTTTTACATATTACAATGATGACCTGTAATAACGTTCTTTATTGTAGATTTGTGGAAAGGTTGACGAATTATGAACTATATACTGTTAAATAGAACTATCTTAATATTTTGAAAGTATGATGTTTTAATCTTTTCACTCATATTTGTTTCATCCATTCATTTGTTCTTTTTTTTTTGTTTCTTTTTTCTCGCCCCATCTAAATAGAACATTGAAAGCATTAAAGAAATATTACACAGTCAATTTTATTTATTGTTAATTTCAAAGCCCCTGTTTTAGGGTTCCGTAGTCAATAGCAAAAAGCAAAACCTTTATAATTTTATTTATCTATTCGTCATATATCACTCGGTCGTAATTTTTNTTTTCGAATTTGAATTTGGCTATTGTTTATTTGAGAGGTAAAAGAGAGGCAGATTTTACCGCCCTTTTGGACCGAATCAATCCAGAAAATTTGCCTTCTTTTTCTCACAGCCTTAGAGCAGCTGCTTATTATGTGCAATGTTAATATTGAATATTAATATGTTAAAAACTTCTAATAAATAAGAAATATCATGTCCAATTGAAAGGTTTTAATAAAAAGACATTTTTAAACCAAAGTAGTAATCTGTATAAAAGTTTAACTTTTTCCCGTGATTTACTTTTAATTGGACTCATATTAAAGAAGGCTGCAATTTTAAAAAATTATTGTCTGTAGAATTATACTTCAGTTTAAAAGTACTTTTGGGCAAAATAATCACCTTTTTAGATATGTACTTTTTAGCCCTTCTACGTTTTATTTGTAGGCAATATCCATGGGTTTACAAAAACTGTTACTGATGAAGATAACTTAGAAATTGTAAGTGCAACAATAGACATTAAAAAATTTCTAATGTTTATAACTGGAATGCACATAAATAATAACTGTACGACAATATGTAGCATAGTACAAGAAAAAATGGTAAAACTCTTTCTGGAACAACCGGGTTCTCTTTCCTTACAGTGTTTCCTAACTCAACTAATCATATGAGTTAATTAAATACTGTTTAATTAATATTTTTGTATGCTAATGTTAATACAATCTCAATCAACTGTAATGCATCTTTTTGTTTAATTTGATTATTTGAAGAATAAAGTAACTTTATAATTTACCCTCTTGTATTATTAAAACAACAAAAAATAAATTATCTGCAATTTATTTTTGTACAAAAAAATAATGATTTTATAGAAATATCTTTCCAAGAGCTAATATTTTTTTAACTAATGATTTATCCATCCATAAACCTTCATAAAATCAAAACGAATATTAACTAAAATTATAAAACAGTACATAAAATAACAGCAACTATTAATATTACTAAAAATGGCACCCATGTTTTCAAAACAGCAGAAAAACTGACATACCTACTATAAAATGGCATTAATATTGCCAATTTTACCATATTCCAATTAGCATTATCATATTTCATTAAATTTAGTGCAGTAGCAACATGGGAATGACAATTATCACACAGAAGATGGTGCATTCTTCCCTTGTAAATTTCTGATGCTTCTCTTACGGAATGATCCCACCCAGAAATACTGCCGCGAGCTTTTGAAGGATCTAGTTGCCAATATTTTGTAGGTCTTCCAAAAGCCATGTTATCTTCAGAAACGAAAAATGGACCAGCAAAGTCTCTTATAACACCCGATGACATTGCAATACCCATATGACCAATTATTGGAAACAACCAAGTTAAAAAAGGAATTGGGGTCCAAACGATACAGAAGGGGAAACGATCATGTGCTTTATCAATTTGGGCAACATTTTCACATTGAGGTGCTGAATTATTGTTAATTCCTTCCATCAGTTGATAACGAGACATAACGTGTTTCACATTACCATGACTGCGTTATCAATGGAGCGTTTCTATAGTAAACCGAAGCAGCAAGTCTTTAAAATGCATTTTAAACGATCCTTCCGCTCAATTTATAATTTAAATTCTGTTTTTTGTTTGATGTGTTTTTAATTTTGTTTAGGTTATGTTGTCTTTGACGTTTACAGTGGTGTTTATGTTTCTGTCTGAACAGGGCACAGGGCTAAATGTATGTTATAAATCAGATTAGTTTCAAATCTATTAAATGCTGTTTTTTTTGACGTTTGTGACCTTGTGTCATTATTTTATTCATAATTTAATCATAAAGTAGTGTTTTTGTAGGTATACGAGTTTTAAATGAGATATATATAAAAGAAGTGTGAATATATTGTGATAAGAGTTAATTATCGTAACATACAAATTTAGTATAACCTAATGGCATCTTCACAAGACGCCTGGTATTTGTCTCTCCTAGGATTAGCTGAATATTTTAGGACTTCCAGTCCTCCTATGATAAAATGTTGTGTCCAGTGCTTACAGGCAGTTTTTACATTTAAACCGCCTCCAAGAGTAGAAGCAAGAACTCATTTGCAACTGGGAAATATCTTATTAACTCACACGAAAAATACTGATTTAGCTAAGAACCATTTAGAACAAGCAGTATGTTTAAATTTGTTTGTTTACCTTTGGATACTATTGATTAAGTTTTAGTGGTTATTATCACAAATTATAAATTCCTTTGATGATGTAAAATTTGAGGCAGCAAGTGTTTTGGCTGAACTTTATGAACAACAAAAACAGCCAGCACTTTCTAAGCCAATTTTGAGAAAAGCAATTGAACTCTCTCAACATAATGTATACTGGCATTGCCGGTTAATATTTCAGTTAGCAGTAAGTATGTGTTTAACTTCTATTGAAATTAAACTTACCATGCATGATTTATTAACAGCAAATACACGCAGCTGAAAAGGATTATCAGCTTGCCAGCAGTTTACTTGGAGTTGGTGTAGATTATGCTCATATCTCAAATGCATATTATACCAGGGTTTTGTTTCTTTTAAGTAAGGGAATGGTAGGAAATGGAATTATAAAAATATGCCCTACTGTTAAATGTTATTGATAATTTAATTGCAGCTTCTTCTAATTGATAAAAAATTACAAGAAGTTCAAACTGTCTTAAACCAAGCAGGACATTTAGTAGAGACATGGACTGGAACCATGTATCAAAAAGAATATTTGAAAGTCTATTTTTTGGTACTGCAGGTAATTTTCTGCTGTTGTAATGTAACTATTTGCTCCAATTTCCCCCCAGTTATGAATATTACTATTTATAAATGCATAACATTTAATTTTAGGTATGTCACCATTTAATGGCCGGACAAGTTAAAAGTGTAAAACCCTGTTTGAAACAGTTACAGCAGTCAATTCAAACCATAATGAGTACAGATGATGGTAAATGTCTTTTTAACACTCATTTTTTTATAACAGTAAATTAAAC